TTTTTTTTTTTTTTTTTTTTTTTTTTTGTCTTTTCTCGTGTCCAGCAATGGATCGCAACCCTCAGTGTCGCGCCCGCACCTCGCTCAGCCAGTGAGCGGGAACCGGTCTGTATGTGGGATCCGAACCCTAGGCGGGAGCGCTGCCGCACTCCCAAGTGGTGCACTGTAGCAGTGCGCCACCAGGCCAGCCCCTGATATAACTTTTTAAAAGAATTTTTTCAGAGACTAAGACCAAACGCTGTTTAATTAAAATTTTTTTTCAGACAGTTTTAGAAAAAGGAAAATTTAAGATGTTGAACAACGTACTGTTCTTACTCTAGTTTTCTTTTCTTTCTTGTTCAGATGATTCAGTGGTGGTTGTCATCACTGTCATCATTATCATCAATATTATCATAACATAAAGGGTTTATGTACCGGGAATTGTCCTAAATGTATACATACATTCAATATACATGTGTGTGAAAATATGTCCTAATAAACATGTATTTAATTCAATACAATTTAATAATTTAATCTTTACTACAACCCTATTTTTTTTTTCCTTTTTGTCTTTTTTCATGACCGGTAACGGGATTGCAACCCTCAGTGTCGCACCCGTACCACGACCGGCAACGGGATCGCAGCGGGATCGCAACCCTCGGTGTCGCGCCTGCACCACGCTCAACCAGTGAGCGGACCGGTCTCTATATGGGATCCGAACCCTCGGCGGGAGCGCCGCCGCACTCCCAAGCACCGCACTCTACCAAGTGCGCCACTGGGCCGGCCCCATTACTACAACCCTATTAATTAGGTAGCATTATCAGGCCTCTTACCGGTGAAGAAAATAGAGAAAACTTCACCAAGCTGCATAAAATTATGGAACCAGTAAGTGGTTAAAGTCAGCATTTGAATCCAGAGTCTATTTTTGTAATCAATGCACTCTTACCGGTGAAGAAAATAGAGAAAACTTCACCAAGCTGCATAAAATTATGGAACCAGTAACTGGTTAAAGTCAGCATTTGAATCCAGAGTCTATTTTTGTAATCAATGCATGTATATGATACATTTTCTTCTAATTTTACTATCTACACTATATAGAAAAAGAATGCCTTACCCCTTATTTTGGAAGCCTTAGTTACGTCTACTTGTATTATTAGATCTCCTTTTAAACTGCATTATTTTGCACAAATAGCTGTCTTAAGAAGCTTGGTTCTTTAAAAAATCTCTAGAAAACACATCTCCCACATGGCTTTTAAAAGCTGTTAAGTAAAGTAAACCTTACATAAATTAGAACTTGAGAAAATCCAGGCCAGTAGT